GGAAAATGGAAACGAAAGCAGACGACAGAACATGGTTATAGAGTAGGAAAGAAGGTGAAAGGGGAAAATTTTTCCGCTTTTGAACCCAGGACCTATTGAATGAGACGCATAACATCATAACCTCTAGACCACGAAAGCCCCGCAGGGAGTTTCTGAGTGTTCTAGTTCTAGAGGCTACTGGGGTAATAATAGTTGCGAAGTGCATAGAGCATGCTGTAGAGCGTTGATATATGTGCTATATAAAAGCAATTATAATTATTACATCATGATGCATTGCTTGTTAGCCAAAAAGTTAGAAAAAGTAGAAATAAACAAAAAGCTCTTTGAAAGTTATTTTTATTTCACATAAAATTTCTTTCTGTCATAATAATTATACAAGCTTAAAATGTAAGTACAAAGAGGAAGCAGCAAGACACATATCTATCTATCTATTTCTATCCTTCCATCTATCTATCTATCTATCCATCCATCCATTTATGGTAACATACAGTCGAACCTGACCAAGACGATTAACTGACTATTGTCGAGAAGAAAAGTGGTCATCTTAGCATGGGTCAGAGAGATCGAGATACTTTCGGACAGTGTCATTATATAATATAGAAGAAAAATGCAAGAGGGAAGTGGGAAGTGGCCGTTCGTACAAATGTTTGTCCTGAACAGGTGGTCGTTGAAGCAGGTTCAACTGTAACTGTAAGTTGGATACCACACTTAATAGGTTGCCTTCCAAGTTTACATTATCTAATGAGAGGAGACTGAATTATTTATGACAAATGTGTATTATGTTGTGAATGTCATGGTTGTTAAAAAGCATACAATTGCATCTTTAAGCAATCAAATAGTAAATATTTACAAAAAGCAAAATGAACTTTGGCATTAAAATTGCTAGAGTTGCACAATGTAAACTTACCCTGAAGACTTCCTAACTAGAAATGTTGCTGAGGGTTAAATTCAGAGTAGGTATTTCTTTTGGAAGTGATGCAAGCTAAAAAACACAAGGATAAAGACATTTTTCACAATTAAAAAGGGCTTGTTTTGTGCAAATGTACACACTATGAGTATTTGACATCAACTGGCCTTCGAGGTTCCTTAGCCCCAACAATTCGTTGTTCAATGATGGCACGTTTTTTAAAAAAATCACTGGTGTCATGAGGCCTATAAATGAATACTGGTACTCGCCTCAGGTGCCAATTATACTGTCTAGACTCTGTCCCATGCTGAGTGCTTCAGGCCTTTACACCTTGTATCTCCAAGATGGTAGAATCGAACACCTTGTGATCCAGAGATTAACCAAAACTCTTAGGTTCCAAGTGCACACAGAGCTTGTCAAAGGCACATAAAAGTTGATAGTCAAAAGAAGAGCAAAGCCAATTATATAAAATTCAGAACTGATTCCAGTCCAATAAAAGATGCACTTACTGGTATAAAATAAAAGACCTGAAAGACAAGAGATCTAACAGATACTTTACAGGGAAAATGTCCTGGGAAAGTAACACTGAGGAGCTTGTAAGACACCCCTATAGAAAAATACTCAAAAATCTATTCTTAACACTTTTGCAGTCACACAGTCAGCAGTACAAAATACCCTCTCTGGTCACCCAGTCAGGAGGGTGACAGCAATGGATTTCTCGGCCTGGCGCAGAATGTGACTGGAATGGATAACTTTTACAGGCGCATTATTGCGCCAAGTGACCGCAAAGGGTTAAATAGAGAAGCATCTTGGAGAAGAACGTTGGATTATAGGTCACTCCTCTGTTTGATAAGTGAAAAAGGTAGTGATGTATCTTGCAAACAAAATGTTTATCCTTTTGATAAAAAGTCTCATTTCAAAAACTATTCATAGCATGGATCCAAGACCATTCATGCAACACATAAATATTTTTTTGCAAGAAGATCTTTTATTGTCAGTTTTTCATCTGTTTCATCTGTTAGTAGTAGCAGATTTTAAAATGCTTTTTAAAAATCCTGCTGAGAACATTATGGTATCTCCCAAAGAAAATATTATGAGGCATCATGGTGAAATCAGGCGCTCGTCAAAATAATGGAATCCAAGAAAAAGGCATTTTTCCACCACTTTGGCAATTTTTATTGAAATTTTTTTGGGGGGCTAAACACCTTTTAGGTTCATAAGGAAAGGAATTTCCAAGTAAATTTTACTGAAAAACCTAGTTTAAAGGCACAAAATATGTAATTTTCAGTTTTCAAGGACTCTTAAGCTATTGAAGTAACCATACTTTGGCGGCCATTTTCTCATTAATTCAACCACTGAAACCAGGCTACCCTACTTTCTTCAATCGCAAATGTCTCGGCTTCTATTCAAGCAAGATGGATTTTTTTTTTCATTGAAAGCAAAGCAAATGAATAAGCTTTCAGAAGATATCAATAACTGTACATGCCCAAAAATTGACGAGTGCCTGACTCCACAATGTCGTATGTATGTGAAACTTGCAGTTGCTCACAGTGAAAATATATTAATTCCATTAGTGGTATCATGAAAAAGAAGAAGTATTCATAAGGCACAGCTTTTCTTTTACGGTTAAGAATGTTGATGAAAATATATTCAATAAGTATAAAATGCTCAAGACACATTATTGGGCTGTTAATAATGAAAACATCTGCTATTCAGATCTTGAACAGCAAGAGTCACATCTCCCAAACAGGGAAAACAATTCTGTATGGCAACTTAAATACATACAATTTTTTTTCGTTTAACTAAGTTTGAGTTAATGTAAAATACATTAACATAAGAAATGATATCTGCCAATGTACATAAAAGCATTGATGGCCTTGTCAGGTAAATCACGCTGCGGAAGACTGAGCATATTTTTCTACCGGATACATGTATCTTGGTTGATCAACATTTTTCTGCACGTGGTGTGCATACGTCCGTTCATGACTTCCATGGGCTGCTGCATATCCAACCTAGAGTAACAATATATAAAAGTATAGTTACTTGAACACCTAGGATATTGCTTACAACATTCATGCATATATATATAATATAATCAAATACAATACAAACAAAAAAATCCTATACTATGTTTATGCATTACGTATGTGCGTATCCACTCATAATTATGATTGCAATATATCATCATGCTGTTAGATTCACCACTTTATTTCTCTGATTTTACATCAGTTACCCTCTTCACTGGGAAATATGTGAAATGGTATAGGTCTGAGGCCGGCCTCACATAGGACATGAGGTGAAATGAGAAATCTGAAATCTGAAACATGAAACGCGAGTGACAAAGAATGACAATAAAGATTTTAATGGCAGCCTGCACATAGGACGTGGCTTGAAACTTATAACGTGAAATGCGTTTCAACACATGTTGAGGTGAAATGAACATGTTCATTTTTTGTGTAGCGTGTGGCCACTGACCAGGACTCAAGCAAGCCACACTGGTGGTGACAGTCGACTCCCGCCGGCTTCCTTTGACGTTTTCATTAAGAGGGGAACAAAATTGGGGTTACAAAATTTCCTTCAACATTTATATTTCTCTCTCTCTCTCTCTCTCTTTTCTGGCGCTGTGACTTCATAAACGGTCAGCGATGCCGACAGCACGTAGGAACTCAACATTTGCCCAGAGGTCCTTAAAAAGTGCTGAAAGTGGGTTACTGAAATGTCCCAGCAGACGGGTTCTGGCACGATAGCTGGCGGGACATCTCAGGAACACATGGTTCATAGTTTTGTCCTCCTCCTTGCAGGCTCGACAGTTCGGATCTGGGTTGTCTGCTGGCGCAATTTTGTGGAGATATGATCTCAGCTTGGGTGATTTTCCACCAGTTCTCATTTGGGAGAGAAGCCAGCGGTCCTGTCGTCTGAGCGAGGCCTCAAGCTGGTGTGATGGTGGCTGAGCAAATGGCAGTTTGGGTTTAGCCTCTCTCTTCCACTTTGCTCGGGTCGATCGGTGGATGACGGCTTTAGCTGTCAAGAAATCGATTGGCGAGTCAATCAGGGCGAGCGCTGTTGCTTCTTTGGCGATGCTGTCAACTTCCCAGGGGTGTGGCATCACTTCCAGAGAAGGTGGCGCCAAGAACAAATTTATGCACAGGAATAGTATTGCCTACTTATTACAGGCCTATAAACTGTAGACCTACTATACGCCTCTTCGTTTGATTTTAATATTGATACAGGGCCACCTACCTCCATGCGAGAAGAATAAATAAGTGTCGGTACAATCTTTTATATATAGAGAGAGGTCTGATGATAAAGAACCAAGTTCGGCGCTTAAGATGCGCACAATCACATCACATCATAATCACACACAAAACAATAACTTCCCACAGATCAACAGAAAAGCACACATTCACAGTCAAGAACGCGCATGCACTATTGCCCTTGGGGCGTCTTGACATAATGACCCCATTCCCTGATTCACTTGCGATTCTGGTTTCTAAAAAGCAGACAATAAAACCTATTTTTAGACAGTTCCCAACCACGCCATGTCCAGGCTAACTACCACTCCATCCCCTCCCTACCACACAGGCGCCAAAACCATCTTGGCCCTTCGGCCCAACAGTACAATCTCTCTGTGTAATGGGAGTACCGGTTTTAGCATTTTTGGCTGAGTTGTGTTCTGAGTGATATCGTTTGTGTCTTCCGTCAAACGTCTGGATGGGGTATTTAAACATTTTTTTTTTGCTTTTCTAGAAAAGAGAACCCTGTTTTCAACTGATTGAATCAGATAGTTTATAGATGATTTTGAATTATTTTGACCAGACTTCACACCTAAACAATGAACACCCAGATGGGTTCAGGCAGAGACATTGATTCAGGTAGCGCCGACCTGGGCTCGGCGCCCTCGGTGACGTCAGACGTAGGGAACGAAAGACGCGGAGAGACCCTTGTGACTGGCAACGGGAGGCTTACCCGCCCTCCTCCCATTAGCCTAATTATAGACACCTTAACTAAAGACTGGCGCACTTAGGGATGACCACTGAATAAGAGATTTGTTAGAAAAAAATATTGTGATATTTTGTTAAGTTTTGGAAAATCGTATTCCCTTTTTTGAAAATCCCTTCTCCATTTCAAAGGGTGGCGCCATGGCGCCATTTGCGCTTGGAGAGCCACGCCACTGCAACTTCCTCATTCCCAGCCAGTCCAGCGAGGCCTGGAATCCACTGTAAGTGGATGGAACATTCGGAGCGTTGACAAAGGGTGTGCAGATGCTGCCAGATTGAGCACGCCACCTTTTCCGATTCGTTGGTAGGGCCGTATGAGAGGCCTAGAATCAGTGTATACATGGATGCGTACACTGTTCGGAAGGCTGCCTGCTGTATGTAGTGCCACAAGAATGTCCAGCGCTGTGTCGAGAGCTACAAGCTCGGCCCTGTAGCTGGAACAATACTGGCCCGTGGGTACACATTGGTTGAGTTCGGTATCACCGGTCTTGATCAGTATTCCACTGCCTCCATACTCGGTACCGTGCTTAGCTGAACTGTCAGTCCATACTTCTACATCAGGCAGGGGGAGCGATCAAACTGTAGCCTCTGCTGCTGCTTTCCTGATGGCTGGTTCATTAGCATGCTTGCAGTCGACGACAAGATCGGTGCTAAAAGTCACGTTGCATGATGCAGCCTTCCACGGTTGTGTGGGGGATAAAACAACCAGCTCCTCACGTGGGTACGTATCCAGTTCAGTTTCGGCTATGAGGTTCTGGGCATGCTTTCTTTAGTTCGACTTGCCTGTCCGCATGGGCACTGATTTTGTTGCGGAGGCTCTGCATTGGTTCGTTGCAAGCAGACGCATGGACTTCTCGAGTGAGATGGCAGTCAAGGTATCAGCTCTATGCCTTAGTGGTAAAATGTCCGCTTCAATGAGGAGGCTGTCCACACGATGATTCTTGCTGCTTCATTCTGCTTTCTTTCCAGTTGCTGCAGGTTGGAGGGTTTGGCAAGAGGCATGTAGGCAGGGGCACAATAGTCGATAGCTGACCGACAAGTAGCATTATATATTGGCTTTATGCATTCCCTTGAGGCACCCCAGGTGGTGCCTGTAAGGGCTTTCAATGGTGGAAGTCTACTTGACAATTTTAGCTCAAGGTTTTGGATGTGGGCGTTGGGGGATAGAGTACGATCAAGTGTGACCGCAAGTAAGGTGGGGTTGGTGTTGAAGGTGATGGGGGAGCCTTTGAGTGAGAGTGCTGGTTTTCGCTTGGCCTCGTGGGTGCTGGTGGTGAAGAGGGTGCACTCTGTTTTCTCCGTACTGATCTCCATCTTGTTTTGTCTTGCCCACTGCTCAAGTGAGTTTATGGCTGCTTGGACACTGTTTTCAGCCTGATTTATGTCTTCGTTGGTGGTGTATATTGTATAGTCATTAGCATAGAGTCCCGTCTTCACAGCTTCAGGCAGGCCTGCTTCAATATCATCACTGAAGACAAGGAACAGTGTGGGGGACAGGACGCTGCCCAGGGGTACTCCCTGCTCGAAACGGCGAAGCCTGCTTGTTGCATTGCCGTGCTTGACACAGGCGTATCTGTCTCTGAGGAACGAACCTATCCATTGGGTGATGCGGCTGGGAGTGGGTCTCAATCATCTTCTCCATTAACCTCGTGCGCCATACCTTGTCGAAGGCACACGAGAAGTCCGCATTTTTATTTTGAAAAAATATTGTGCTATTCAGAATCAGTGTATCAAAATTAGCAAAGTCTAAGTGTAAAAGATCAGTTTTAAAGCTTAGTTCAAAAGATTTATAAAAATACTGTACAGTGTACATGTTAACACAAGAGTCGCCCAACTATAAATTTGGGGCTTATCTATCTCAGCTTTTCATTGATCGCCGTATCACCAAGAAGTAAGCATTGGTCTTTCAGAATGGACTATTAGAAATCTACAGAAAACTATTAATAATAATAATAATAATAATAATAATAATAATAATAATAATAATAATAATAATAATAGTAATTTTAAAAATAGATTGTATCTTTATAGCGATCTATCCCGTACTAGTATGCTCTGAGTGCTTTACACCAATCACATAATCATTCACACAAGAATAAATATTTCACAGAAACAAGAAAAACCAGTTCAACCACATAAAAAAGAATTTTAACAACTATACATTAACTATATTTAAAAAAACCATAATCACTTACGTACATAATATAACTTAAAAATTTAACAAATTAGTCTTGAGCAATCGCTTGAATGTATAAAAATTTGTTATATTTCTCTGAAATCTTGAGGCAAGGTGTTCCAGATTTTTGGGCCAAAAAATGAGTAACTTTTCTCGCCAAAAGATCCTAATTTCATTCTAGGGGCTCTGAATTTTGTTGCATCTGCGGATGACCGTAACTGACGAGATGGAACATACAATGTAAAAGCTCAGATAGATAGGATGGGGTTTTATCGTTAAGACATTAAAAACACATGGTAGAAACTTTATACTGGATTCTTTTATCAACTGGAAGCCAATGCAAAGCTTTTTAACATTTTTAATGCACAATCTTTCTTTTTTTTCTTCAGCGCTAGTCTTGCGGTGTTATTTTGGGCGACTTGCAATTTCCTCATTCGTTCACACGAGATACCAGACAGAACAGAGAATTACAGTAGTCAAGTTTTGTAGGTACCAGAAACTAAAATTTCAGAGTAGCTGTATGCCAAATCTATCTGTTCCCTTTGAAAGGCCTATATATCTATTGAGCATTTTGGTACCATTCTTTAACCTCTCAGTCAATTTTTAAGAAATGGAAGTTGTTTAAAATTTGATAAAATTTGTTAAAGTCAGTCACTGGCTGCAACCTCATGTTTAACAGACAATAAAAGAGTACCAAGTACACTAAACATCTCCACATTAACAGAGTACAATCACTATAACAAGTATATGGAGCCTATTTTTTTTCAAGACTGTGAGATCATTACAAATCAGTATTTTATCGCATCAAACACGATGATCTGTCGTTATTTCAACAAAAACACAGAGCGTTGACCCGGCCAGCTTCGCACCGGTGCGACCGAGTCGGCTCTATGTTGTTGTTGTTGTTGTTTTCAAATCCCTTTAGCTCCGAGCATTTTGCTCTTGGCAGCGCAATGCCTCCCTCAAGTAACCACATGTCCTTGTCATCTGGTCAGTGCCAGAGAAGTCAGCTCTTTACTGTAGTGTACCCCGCATGGGGGGTCGCATGCTTTCCAAGTCTCGCGGAAGGATTGATGCAAAATAATTCCAAGCTGAACTGATCTTTCAATTACACCTTTTTTGAGCCAGTATTTTACATATTTTATGTAAAAAAATGATCTTTGAAAATTTTGACAGTATTTTTAAAAGCTTTCTATTTAAACTCCAAAGGCCAAAAAATATACCACGGGAAAGACCGTTCAAAGCTTTACAGTTCTCAGCCAATGGAAAGACGGTATTTAATCATCCCTGGTTCCGCGAAGCATTTGAATGCATGCGTGTCACTTTTTGAACCAGCCGGCCACGCATTCCGACCGCGAGGGGCTTTGCTTTCCTCGGCGATTCTCCAGCTCCTAATAATCGGATATAATATAAAAAACTTACATCATTGTAACGAGGAAAAGCTGAACTTTCACAAGGTGTACGGCATTTGGAGTTTTATAGCGAAAGAGCCAAGAAACAGTGATCAGAATTACCCCGATTTCACCCATACCACGTGGTCGGAAGGCCGCAAGTGCCTGCGAGGCCGTGTTTTCGCTATCTAAGTTTTGACAAGACAAAAGAGACAGAGATCATGCATGCAACATTGGTTGAAATAAGGTGCCTTACCTTGCTAATTCTCCTGAGATCAAGGTACATACATCGAATAACATGATTTACTTGGTTGTTCATGGACATATCTGAATTTAAAAAGATACCTGGATTCTTGACCTTGTTAGAAAAGGATAAGTTAGTATTTTCAATTTCTAACAGGCTTCTATCAACATCATTAAGGTTTTTTAAACTCCCAAATAGAATGGTTTCAATTTTTTCTTCATTCAGCATTAATTTGTTTTTCCCATCCATTTTCACTCTTTAAATGCATCTCTTTACTCTTTCTATGAATTCATCGATGCCATATGACTTTCTAAAATAATTGAAAGAGTCCATCATCCTAGGGTTCTTGTGTATTTTCCTCTGTTCTCAAAAGGAAATGCTCTCGAGACCATAAGCTGTGCTTTCTTCTTTTTCTGCGCTTTCTCAGTAGAACTAAGATCATCAATGTATCTTCATCTGACGAGTCCATTATGTCAACTGAATTATCATGACGTAGGCCTACTTCTGAATTGGTGTTGTTTCTCGTTTCGTATTTCGCCACACGCCGGTCCTATGTGATTGCCTGATGTTTCTAGTTTCACATTTATAGTTTCATGTTTCACATTACACGTTTCACTACATGTCCTATGTGAGGCTGGCCTAACAGCCCTGTCAACACTATAAGGTTATTCAAGATGCAGGACCTCCGAGTTTAATGTCCATCTCTGAAAGGACCGAGCCAAATAGAAAATTTATGTAAAGTGTCTTTCCCAAGGACGCAACGTTGGACCGAACTGAGACTCATACCCTCGAACTCTCAATCTCACAATTACAGATCCAGTAGCCTAATCACAAGGCTGCAAATGACACTTCATTGAGCTAGGAAAAGCAAAGTAACAAGAAATTTTCCGAACAGCTTACGTTGTACAATGGTTTATTGTTATGCATGGACCACATAAGCATATGTGAGTGTCACTTCTGTCCAAAGGATTCTCATGCCATTCAAGATTTTTCAAATTTAAAATCCCGAAACAAATGATGTGGTCTAAAGCCATTTTTTAACTTTCAGTAAAGTACTCACATTTTTCCATCTCCATTCCTCTTCTGACTGGTTTTGCTGTTTACGAGCTTCAATCCAGTCAGATGATTGTCTGGTGAGACTGCGAGACAGCCTATCATGCTAGACAGAGAAAGCAAAAAGTTTGAAAATACTGTACCGACAATGAAAGTGGGTTTTTTATTTTAGTAAGTGTTTTACGGCGCTCGCAACTGCATAAAGGTCATATGAGCACGCAGGACACATTAAATTTTTCATTTGGTAGGAAATTTTTAATTTTGCCCGGGTGGCGGCCGAAGCCTACTCTTATCGATTTTAGACCACCAAGGGATCTTTAACGTGCACAACTTGCATACGGGCCCTCCAAGATATTTCACCCTTGTCTGAGAAGGACAGGTGTAGATCTTTCCTACCAGAAGATCAGGGGTGTGGTGAAATACAGCAGTAAGAAGGAGCCACGGAGTAGCAGTAGAAAGGCTGCAGAAAGAGTCAGGAGCCCAGAGGAGGAGACAAAGGAGGTTAGGGGGTGGGGGGCATAAAATGGAGACGAAAGCAGACGACAGACCATTACTAGAGAGCAGAAAAGGAGGAGATCCATCAGACAACAACTGTACTAAATGAAAGCTACATTAACAGATACATGTTATGTGATATACAGAAGGCATTTTTACTATCATCCATTAAAATCCTACTATCTTAATCATCTTGTAATAGATGTATTCTAATGACCATTAAAACATGAAACATCAGAATATCAATGGGATGATTATGCATCTAGCTTAAGAGTAATACTGTTAACAATTATTATTCATTTATAATAGGCAAGTCTGAGTTCAAGCCTCGGTTTGGACACAAATTTTTTTCGCCCCCTCCTGCCCACCCAGCAGTAATGGGTACCTGACTTCGAGTTGGGAAGTAAAGGTGGCATGGAAAGGAACTAGCCACCCTACCACAATATGCCAAAGGCCCAGGAAGTTGTCTCACTAACAAGGCAATCCCCAATGTCCTGATCGGATGCAGGAACAACTTTACCTGATATTATGCATGTGACAGTGAGTCTGTTTGTGAGTGCAAGCATACTGTAATATTGTTATGTTTATGAGTACAGGTATGTGTGGAGAGAGGATGTGTGAGAGATTGTGTGCATGGGTGTGCGCATGCACATGCATGTGTGTGTGTGTGTGTGTGTGTGTGTGTGTGTGTGTGAGTGTGTGTGTGCGTGTGCATGCATTTCTTCATACATATATATTTGATTCTGTGAAATTGAAGAGAGAGAAAGCGGTGAAGTGTTTAAATCATAACAGATACGTTACGTTATAAGCTATGGAAACCATACATTTTTTTTTGTCCCATCAAATCTCTTCACACAGTCAACTGTTACTGTTACTTTTACACATTCCTTACTCTCCATGCTGTAATTATAAGTAGGCTTACCTGAGCTTTCTGTTTCTGCAGTCGTGTTGATAAGTCTTTCCGTGCCATTTCACTTGTGCTCAACTGAGCCTGCAAAATTTAGCCGTAAAATTTATGCATTAGTGATTGTAAACTGTAGTTCACTCAGATAACATTCTTCAGTAGAAGAACCATAGAGAGACAACAACTGCACTAAATGAAATCTACATAAACAGACACATGTTACATTATAAAAAAGATAAAGAAAGATTTTTAACCATCTTGGTATTTTAATAATTGAATGGAAAACTTTGATAGATTTTAAACATTTCTATGATCAGAAATCAATATTAACCCCTTCACTGCTGCCCACTTTGACTTCCCATATGCTGGAAAAATTTCCAGGTACCGCATGAAACCATAGGTGACTTCCCTTATTGGTCTTTGGTGCTCTTGAATGAAGTGAAAAGTATAACAAAGTATATATTTTCTTGTAGAGAAATGAATGGTCTTTCCAAGTAGACTATGTACAGGGGGATTATTGGAAGGAAAAAGATTTTGAGAGGAGTAGAAGATTGCATAATATAGGGAAAAAAATGTTTTCTTACCTTGCTCTAGTAGGGAAGACTGGAACTGGTATTCAACTTGTAGGGTAATCCATACAGAAATAATAACACACTACACTTATATGCACACACAATTCCACAGAAAAAATAAAGCACAGAGATATGTACACAACTATTTACAATCACTAGCGAAACTGGACTTCACTCCTAGTTCCGCCAGTAAAACCTCTCTGTGTGGTACTTCTTGAAGCACCCACTCAGACAGAGGCCTGGCTTACTCGGGCAGTCTGGGCAGTAATACCTAGTGTCTTTTCGCAAACCCTTCTTTGTGCAGACACGGCACCTCTTTTGGGGATGAACTTTTTTTTCAGTTGGGGGAAGAACTTCAATGAAGTGCCTGTCATACAGTCGGACCGCATGATCATCGGTGACACTAGGGGCACCATCATCCCCAAAGATCCAGTCAGAAACAACATCTTTCTGGAAATCAAGGAAAGTTGACTTATTCCCTGCTTTTTCATACAGGATGTGGGCATTGAGCATTGCCACTTGAACCATGCGCACGAACAACTTCTTGTACCACTTGAGTGTTTTTCGCGTGGCCTCATATGGCTGGAGAAGTTGATCATGGCGGTCTACGGAGCCCATGTTTATGTTGTATGACAACACAGAGGGTGGCTTCTCTGTGGTCCCTTGAGGCTCGTGGCATGTGGTCAACATGTATACCTCCCTCTTGTCGTGGTATTTTTGAGCAAGAAGGTGGCCACTGGCACAGCTTTCAGTAGCTCCCTTCTCAACATGAAGCGCTCTGAGCAGAGGAGCGGTCCTGTTTTTTCTCATTGTGCCACAAGCTGATGTTTGTTGGCTGTGGAGAAAGGAAAATAGGTCCACAGAAGTGTACCAGTTGTCCACAAAGAGTTTATACCCCTTGTTCAGCAGAGGGAGCATGAGGTAGACAACCTCTTTGGCAGGTCTGCCAAAGGTGGCACACTCGTCTGGCAGCATTTCATCAATGGCCTCAGTACTCTCGTCCTTTCCTGCATAGATGCGAAAACGGTATGTGTAACCACTGCCGTCACACAAAAGAAATGACTTAATTCCAAACCGAGCCCTTTTCAGCGGTATATATTGTTTGAACAAAAGCCGACCTTTCCACAGCATAAGGGACTCGTCAATGGCAACGTTCTGGTCTGGAACGTAAACATGTTGGAACCTTTCGAAGAGATGGTTCAGAACAGGTCTGATCTTGTACAACCTGTCCCTATTCCTGTCTTGAACATTGGGCATATTAGTGTTGTCACTGAAATGGAGAAATTTCAGCAACAGCAGGAACCTATCTCTAGACAAGGCAGCATTGAAGACAGGGGTTGTAAAGAGAGGGTCAGTACACCAGTATGAATTTATTTCAGGCTTTTTGATCATACCCATCAATAAAAACACACCGATGAAACATTTCATCTCTGTCACGTCAGTATTGTGCCACTGATTAGCCCTAGAGTGCTGTTTCAAGGGCGTCGCAGCCAAGTACTGCTCGGCATAACGATTGGTCTCAATGACCAAAGAGCGGAGTAGATCATCGTCCACAAACAAGGAGAAGAACTGGGAGGGGGTAAAGTTACTCACATCAACTTTTATGCCAGGGGCAGCAGTAAAGTCTGCAATCACTGGGCGAAAGTTCCCAACATCTCTGGTCCACTCTCGGGTGTTTGTGGCGGTTCTCCTTGTGCCCCCTGCACCTCTGCCTCTTCCTCTTCCTCTGCCTCGACCTCTGCCTCGACCTCTGCCTCTACTTGCAGATGTAGAAGGACCGGGGACATCCTCAAACCTTGTTTCTGGGTGAAAATAAATCATCTTACAATTATTTACTGTATTTCATTGTTATTACTATCATTGTTTATTTCATAAGTGAGCATGAATCATTCAGACCAGGCTAGAATCTAGATCTAGATCTTGATCTCTCAGAAATGAGAAAGACCCTTTTTTTACAAATATTCCTCGCAATCGGTCATCTGTAAGAAGAATACATGGCTTTTTTTTCCACTGAACATCTACCACTTTCCTTCTAGGTTAGTAGATCTAGTAACCACCAGGCAGATCTAAGATCTAGATTTCTAGAAAAAAACTGATAGGCCAAAGCTAGTATTATCAGTGCTAACAAGATGCATAATTTATAAAGATAAGAACAAATTGTTCAATAAACTCAGCTCTGGATTTTAGACTTGAGGCCAGGGTAGCGGTACGGTCACTTACAAAAAATGACATCATAATCTAAACAAACAACAATAATATAAGAAGGCAAAATCATCTGCAGTGTTTCACCCCCCCCCCCCCCCCCCCAAACAAAAAAAAATAAGGGAAAGAGGTGTGAGAGCAAAACAGAACAGTCAGGAAAAATAAACATGTAGATCTAGATCTAGATCTAGTCTAGAATCATATTATTGAATGTTTACCTTCGCGCTCATCGGCTTGTTCTTCCTCTTGTTCTTGATCATGATCAGAACTGGAATCAACATCATCAGAATCATGTCCGTTCCAGTTAGGACTAGCATCATCATCCAAATCTTCATCTCCGCTATCTAGATCGCGGTAGACCTCTTGGACAGCTTGTAGTGTAGTTAGCATTCTCCGCGGACGGTTAGCCATCTTCGTTAGCTGAGCTGAGCGTTCGATACGGTGCGTACTAGAGCAGACGAAAACTCGGAAAGGACGCTTCTATTTCCCGCTAGAACTAGGCCAGTAGCAGAAATTTTCCCACGAACAGTGGATTTCTAACTCGTAGAATAAATGAGCTTTCAAGGGAACCTACTCTAAATATTATAAAAGCAAATTAGACTTTAGCAGGGAACGAAACAAAACAGCGATAATGCAGGACGTAGTAGTCACGTCGCTGTAGCACACAGAGGCGCGTTCAGGGAGACGTAGGTACTACGTCGTCCTAGCAGTGAAGGGGTTAATGTTAATTTTATGTAAATATTTGTTTTATTTTTCCATCCATTCAAAAGAGAAGGGTTGATCAATATATACAAACAACTATCACCGTAATGTTTATTTGTCCAATAAGGATACTGATATATCATGAGGAAGTTAAAAAAAAGTCATAAATATGAGAAAAGGAAAAACAAGCAGGAACCAAATAAAGCGAAAACACCAACTCTGAATACTTTATACTTTTTGTGTACAGTATCTTTTTGTACAAAACAACCGTGTTTGTGCATAATTGCCAGCTCAAGTGAATATGTGTGTGTGCATGTAAGGGTGTTTGTGTTTGTTTGTGTGTGTGTGTGTGTGTGTGTGTGTGTGTGTGTGTGTGTGTGTGTGTGTGTGTGTGTGCGTGTGTGTGTGCACGCATGTGTGTGGAGAAGGGGGGAGCATTTAAAGTATAAAATATAACATTCACAGACTACCATTATATACAGACCATGATTTGATGCCGATCTTGTTGAGCAACCTTTGCTTTTCTTATCAGTTCTGCATTGTCTTGTTTGAGCCTCTGTATCTCATGCCTTTGATCTTGATTCTCTTCTAACAGATACTGTGAAGCAAGGCAAATTAGTGTTATTACATTTTGATAATGGTCAACGCACAACTTTATTTTAAAAACTGTTACTCTAGTTCAAGGCTTGCCAACCTGGGTGACATTGCCCACATGTGGGTGATTTGGTCATTTTGGTGGGCTGTGGGGATTACCCACATAGTGACAGGTATCATCTAATTCCCTGCATGTAAACACGTTTAGGTTGGCAGTACAAAAATCTTTAACCTCTGTAAGGTGGCTAAAGTGGGTGCTGACTAAAAAAAAGTTGACAAGCACTGCTCAAGTCAAATCAAGATAGCAATAGAAAATCCCAAGAACTGGTTTGGCCATTTATTTTCAACAATTGTATCTTTTCAAAACTAATTTTGCTTAAAATGGGAGGTATTTTTTCAGCATGAATCATTTTTTCATTCATCTTTTGATCAGGGATGCAAAGATTTACATAAACACAGCTGCTCTTCAAGGATACAATTTTTGGCCATTAATTTGTATGTTTCTTTGAAGGAAAAACGAATCAGCCCTAGTTTCAAACATGCAAAGTTCCATTTAAAAACAAAATCCTACCTCATTTTTCTTTATAACATCATTTACACGATTATTTGGCCCAAGGAAGCTCTGTGATGTAGGAGGTTCTGCTGATTTTGATGAACGCACAGGTTTATTTCCTCTCTGCCCTTTCAGCTCATCCAATTCAGCTTGGAGGTCAGATGCTCGTGTTTCAGCTAACAAATTATGAAACAAAAATTGCACATTTCCTTTTACCTTCTCAGAGAAGTGGGTTATTCATAAATGAATAATAGGCTGTATCTGCTCCTTATACCCCTTTTTAGTCTTGCTATTTATCCTTCTCTGAAATGGATGAAATGTGGTCGCAATCCTTCAGATTCAGTGTAAAATCCAACTTCACTCGTATCTATTAGTAAAAAAATTTACCTATGTCATAAACAATTAGTTTTGGTTGTTCTTATTATTGTATTTCTTTTTTTTTTTGGCGTACATTTGTCCCACTTATAAAATGCCTGCAAGGCCAAAGACATCCAGAAAGCCTGGAGTCCAAATATTGATGCTGGTTGATTTTCAAAAATGATGACTATTTATAAGCACAGTACCAAAACATATTGTTTAATCAAAATGTTCATTGTCTTAAAGTACTACATGACACCTGAAACATTATCCAAAGATATAACCATTTTTTCAATAAATCTGAAACTTGAAATTATTTTTATTTTGAAGTTTGTAGAATTAAATCTTCACTTGAAGTTTCTTTTAAAAGGTAGAAGAGTATTCAATAAATCAGGCAAAGAAGAAGCTAGAAAAATATGAGAACAAACACATAGTCCCATCATCTGATTACACGTACCCACTTTAGCCTTCCTCTCATACATTTGTATAGCCCTCAGAGTTGTAACAGCAGACAAATTCGATTCTCTATTGTAGTTGACTTGTCTCTCCTTCCTTTGTGCTCTCAGCTCATTTCTCCTGTTCATAAGAACTAGTTCTGCCTTGAGGTTTGTATTCTGAGCATAAATTTGTGGCATCATACGAGCCTTGAGTTGATAAGCTGTCTCTTGATCCTCTGGCATCGGTAGTCTGAAAGGATAACACCAAAATGCATGCAGAATCTCTTGATTTGAAGTTTTAAAAAAAAAGTTAAAGGTTTTATTTAAGTCATGTTTCCATATGGAAGGCTCACACAACTTCACAATAGCTTCCTTAATTGGATTATTCATTGTAATTTACCATTTCTGTCCTTTGAGGAACAATTCGGGTTATCATTCTTTGGCACTAGATGGATAAACAAAAAAGAAAAGTACTGTTGTACATCAAGCAATATAACAAAAAAAGAAAGAAAGAAAGAAAGAGAGAGGGAGAGATGGGTAGAGAAAAAGAGAGAGGGAAGAGAGAGAGAGAGAGAGAGAGAGAGAGAGAGAGAGAGAGAGATGGGGAGAAAGAGAGGGAGAGAAAGAGAGGAGAGGGGATAGAATAATGGGAGGTCTGTCCCAAAAGTAAAAAGAAAATGGCTATAAAATGAATGGAAAGTTTTGTCAAAGTCTAGGTACAACTTACACAAGTAGTTCATTAAACATTCTACTAAAAACGTATTACAGTATAAAAAAATGCTAGATAATTTCTCAAACAGTGCTCTAATAATTACCTCTTTTTCTTTTCTCCTCCATCTTGTCCACCTTTTCCCTTCTGTCCACCATCCTCATTGTCTATTCCATCAGCTTCCTCTGACCCAAGAGACACAGCTAACTCATGGTGAACAGTGCCAGCTTTGCTCTGAAACTACAAAGAGGTTCTCAAACATGTTAACAACAAGTTACTTTTGTTCTTGGATATCTGAATATGAGAACATATACTTTCAGACACAGTAGGCTTATACATACTGCATACAAAAGCTTTGTTTCTTTAGGTTAATTTCAAGTCTTTTTTAAAAATGGTTTTGATAATTACTGCTAAAAATGCACCCTGATTCAGTATCACACTTTGCTTTTCTTTTGACAGAATAGGTTGAACATTCTTATTCAATAATTTCACTTTTCTGATTGATTGAGAAGGTGTTTTACGGCACTATCGACTCAATTTTGGTCATGTAAGTGCCACACCTTTCTGATTACAAGTTAACATAACTAATTAATAAATGAAGTCAAAGAAATTTTCTTAAAATACGCAAAAACTATACAGGATCATATACTGCTCTTTCTTCAAAAGCAGTTACTGGGTACAGCTGAAATAATGTAAACCACAATTTATTTTGGATGATCAGATGAAAGTAAAGAAGTAAAGAAAAAATCAATTCTCGAACGACATATATAGGGTTAGCCAGAACAAAACAAGGCCTTACGTCTTGCAGTTCTTTCTTCAATGTCTCAACGAACTGCAATAATGTTTCCTGCTGTTGTAGAACCTCATTCTCTTTCTTTGCAGAGTTCAATTTCCTTATAGCATTTTGGAGTGCTCTTGCTTGATCTACTTGGTGCTGAGCACAATCCTGTAGAGCCTGGAATAAAAACATGAAGTAGGCCTACAGTCAGGACAAAAAAAAATTAATACACATGTTGCATTTCTCTGCTGTTTTGAGCGATTGTATGATTCAACAGAGTTGCAGATACCAATAGGTAAGATGGTGTCAGTGTTTTTTCTTCAGCACTCTTGTCATTGAAAAAAAAAGAAATATCATATGTATATAAAACTGAAATGTCTTGCCAATTGATACTCTTCGCTTAGAGACATAAATTCTTTTAAAGCTTCGCCATGGGAACACACAAAATCAACAGACTGATAAGGGAATAAATGCTTGCAGAGCCTTTCCTAATTAAGGTACAATTCATCACCAATGAGTTAAGTACAGGCCAACTTTTTTTTCTAGCGCCTCTTTCTGTCACCTAAAGGAAGCATTAATTATAGACAAAGGAAGAAAAAGTAGTATGGTCTACAAAAGCACTCCCCCCCCCCCCCCACCCATCTTCCCCTCTCACTCTCTCTCTCTGATCTCTCTCTCTCTCTCTGATCTCTCTCTTTCTCTCTCTCTCTCTCTCTCTCTCTCTTTCTCTCTCTCTCTCTCTCTCTCTTGCTCTGTCTCTCTCTCTCTCTTTCTCTGTCTCTCTCCTTCTAACCTTTCTCTCCAAATCGATTGGCAAAAATAAAAGTGTTTAAGTAAAAAAGGGAGGCAAATTTTAAAAAACAACAACAGATGAGAGGAGATGAGAAGGAGACGGAAACCTTGCAAACTTTATATCACTGCACTACTTTGTGATTTAAACATGAACTATGTTAATACAAAAAGCTTATATAATCGCATCATCTATGTTTGCTCAGTCGGCCTACACAGTAAGTTCTTTTCTTCAATTTCTGTATTACGTTCCTTGACAAAAGTAAGGTTGTAGGCCTACAGTGCTCTAAAGGAAAATGTTTAACAGTCCTTATAAAAGGTGAAGGGTCAACAATCATAACCAAAACATTAACAAACATTTTTACTGGATTGACTGAATTCTTCAGAAGGCTGAACTACTGATAACAGCATTGGGAGGACCAAAAAGGATCGATCCCCTTGACAATCTACCCCCTGGGCCCTCAACTACCACTACTCTGCGGTGTGAACCTTGTCAACAACAAGACAGCTCTCTACTTGTCACTTTTGAGTGTTTTTTCCATGATAAATGTGAGATAAATAAGTTCTTTATAATAGTAATAGTACACTTATTATGAGATGGGGATGCTTTTGTGATATTGTATTTACGATTAGGGTCCTTGTGCTGTATTAAAGTGTCATATTCTTACTTGTAAAGACTGTTTACTCGCCATACTGCCTGAACTGCTTCGGGTATGGCGGTCGACAGGTCAAGCTCCGATTCCCGGATACGAACATTTAACTTACAGCCTGATTTGTTTACAGTTGCTAAGATTACCGGAAGGGGAACAACTCCATTAGTCTATTTTCATAGCATCGACCTAATACCAGGGAGAGAATGCTAACATAGTACATTGGGAAACACGAAAATACTGCCAACGAATAGAGCCGCAGTAGCGTTTATACGTTGTCTATCGTGAAGGTTTTCGGAGCATTCAGTCTAATTTGAATGAAAAATTGACAATAAATCAGAGAGCGTTTTATTAGGCCTGTTTCTAATTTTACTCAAGATTATAATATTATTTGTATAGCCTTATAATTACTAGATCTAATTATTCTGTTTCATTCTCTCATTTTACAAGACAATGTTCTCCACAGAACTACTGGATGGCGCCGCTTGGCATCTCCGAGAAGATAAAAGTCAGATAACGGCCTATACAATGTATGTGTATTTGTAAATGAAAGCAATTTTTGTATCTCGTACTAGTACAGCTAGCCTCATTAGACTTTAACTATCAGTGTAGATTTCTATGAGGCCCACGTGTAGCCACCAGTTGCTGCGAAGCAAATTAAATACCATACTGATTAATCTGGTTTGTAACCCCAGAACATGATACATGTAGGCCTACTGCTGTATCTCAATTTTTATTCAGGCTTTCTGGCCAGTTGTTGTCAATTACATGGCAGTGGAATGGTAGGCCTGTAATTACTAATACTATACTATAAATAAGCCTACTGATAGACCTGAAATGTAAGGAAAAATTCTTCGCTCGAAAGTGTGTCAGTTTTGAGCATACAATTAATGGACAGGCAAATAGCATGTATAATAAATATGTTGGTTGCTTTTAATTTCAGGAGCAGCTTTCAGGGTTGCCTTTTCCGTTTTGTGGACGTTTTCCGTGTGTGGCAGGAAGACAGCAGTAAGGAGGAGCCAAGGAGTAGCAGTAGATACTAGAAAGGCTGCAGAAAGAGTCAGGGGCCCAGAGGAGGGGGCAAAGGAGGTGATGGGGTGGGGGCAGAACGTGGAAATGAAAACAAACAACAGAACTTTGCTAGAGAGCAGGAAAGGAGGTGAAAGGAGTCAATTTTAGAGACGAAAATTTTTTGGTCGCTACCCGGATTCGAACCCGGGACCTTTGATTGAATGAGAGGCCAACACCTTAACCTCTAGGCCACGAGAGCCCCCCACCCATGAGTGCATTCTGAGTGATTCTCTCAGTCATAGTCTGCTGAGTGTCACAAGGTACCATTAACCGTAACCTAGCATGTCTTTGGTTTCTTTGAATCTGCACGAGGTTGCAATTGGGTCTTTTTATTCTAAAACTAAAAGTACACACATATACAATGTATATATATATATATATATATATATCCCTTGAAATGAGAAGAAAGACCACACTCATAGAAATCTAAAAAGACTGTCTACTGTCAACACTACCCACTAAATGGATTGTGAATGACACAGATGATTTGCAGGCAGACTTAACCAGAGCAGTGGATGCTAGAGAAATGATTGCATAATCCAACGATGAAGTTGATTCCATTTAACTGCAAATGGTAAATGACCCCCCCCCCCCCCAAAAAAAAAAAAAACACAAAAAAACCCCAAACAAACAAACAAATAAAAAAAATAAAATAAAAAAAAACAGAACTGTACAAGCTCATCCCCTTACTTTATCTGCTGAGAATATTTCAGAGGCAGGACAACAATAATTGCGAGGCAGCGAGGTGGAATCAGGCACTCGTCAATCTTTGGCATGTAGAGTTATTGATGTCAGCTTAAACTTAAAGCTTGTTCACTATCTCTATTTGAATGGAAAAAAATATTGATTTATCTTGAATACAAGTCAAGATATTTGCAAATGAGGGAGATGGGGGTCACCTGTTTTCATAGGTAAAATAAGTGAGAAAAAGGCCGACTAAGATTAGTTATTTCCTTAGATTAAGAGTCTGTGGTAACTGAAAATTTACATTTTTTTGTTCCTTTTTAATCAACGTTTTTAGTAAGAAAAATCCACACAGAAATGAGTTCTTTAATGGGCATGAAAGGCGTTGAGCCCAAAAAACACACATTTGATAAAAATTCACAAACCTGCGGAAAAATGCAAGTTTCTTCACTTATATTATTTTGACAAGAGCCTGATTCCACCACGCTGCCTCACAATTGAAGATTGCACCTTCATACTGCTGTATCCAAAAAAATATTCTCCACAGAGTTATGTTATGGCATTGGTCAAGAGGAGGGTTGAACCTAAAGATCAACAGCTCCTTGACCAAGATAGGGACCTTTATACAGTGGGTGTCGCTTTCAACGAGAAGTCGGCTCCAACGAGACAATCCTTAATAATAATCCCCAATTTTTTCCTCTCTCTATATATTTCTTCGTAAATGAACGTCAGCTCCAACGAGGTTGCAAACAGACCGAAGTCGCTTTCAACGAGGTCGCGATAACCAAATAAAAGCAATTAACAGCCCCAAAAGCGAAAAAAATGTATCTTTTCTCTCCATCTCACACAAAGCACAAGGCCCATCCTCGATTCCTAACACATTGTATTACTAGATCTGGTGTGCCTCCTAATATGGGCCCCAAAGCCAAGGGGATGGACAAGGGATAGCCTACGGTAGGGATGGGAGGGGGATGGGTGGGAACGAGATGCGGGCTGTGTGAAACTGTATGAACTCTGGATGGGTAGGTATAGATCGAGACCTTTATTTTTTTTCAATGTTCTTTTTTTCCCCCTGATCAGAAAATCCAAGCTCCCACCTTTACTTTATGTAGATCTAGGCCTAGATGTGAGAGGATATGTTTCCACACGAGATGTGCTCCGGAGAAAATTTTTTTTTTTAATGCGGAAATGATGGTCAGAACACAGCCCAAACACGTGCGCACTGCTGCTGTTGGAGATTTTCGTCATCAGGGGGAACAACTGTTTTAATTTCTGGTATTGGTGCATCGTGTACATGTAATATAATACCTTGTCTCCTTTCATTTCTTTAGCCTTAGTCACGTTCAACGAGAGGTCGGATCCAACGATGACAAGCCGGTCTCGGTAACCTCGTTGAATGCGACACCCACTGTATCTACATTACAGTGGAACTCGGATTTAACGAGAACTCGGATTCAACGAGAGGAGATAGATTCCCCGTTTTTTTTTTCTTCTTTAAAATCAATAAATAACCCGGATTCAACGAGCACTTAAATCAGCAAGCTTGGATTCAACGAGGTCGCTTCCAGGGGGAACAGCCCTCACAGACGTGGCTTCGCTCATTTTTCTCCCAGAACGAACTTTATCTATTCCCGAAAACCATCCATTGCACCTGCATCGTGAACTATTGTTCACTAAGCCGATTGAATGCGACCAATTAGCGGCCTTTTTTCATACCAACACATGCGTTGTTGGCACACGCACATGTATACTCTGGCGTGTGTCGGGGTCGGATGGGCGGCCTGCACACGTGTGACTGTGTCGGAGAGGGCACCAGAGGTCTCAGATACAAACGCGTCACACAGTCTTTTTTTCCCCCTCAGCAACTGATCATTATTATAAGCTTGTATTGACGTAGATCTACGAAATGAATTGAGCGTTGGTCTATGGAATTGGAATAAGAAGTTGCCGTGTGCTGGGCTCTACACAGCAACACAACTTTTTGGCAAACAATCGAGATGACACAGGCCTGCATTTGAACGAATTGGTCTTTTTTTACACAGCTCATTAATATGCAGTCATTTCAGGCACTACTACTACTTGTTACTTCTCTTTACACATTATGTGCTCAGTGCCTGTAATAATCTACACCAAATCTTATGTTTGCAATAACGAACACTCGGTTTCAACGAGGTTTTAGGAGAGGCCCGGCGACCTCGTTGAATCCGAGTTCCACTGTACATAACTGGTAATAAATAGTAGAGTAGAGTGAAATATACTTACTGAGACAGGAGACAGGTGTCTGAGTGAGCGCTCTTTCTGAGGTCACATTTACATTTCACTGTGCCTCTATTTTGTGAGAAAAAAAAATTCTTAAACCCTCTCCGTACGCCCTGGGGTCATTTTGTTCCCCCAGGGTTGTATTCTTCACATTTAAAAATACTTCTAGTACAAAGATCTCTTTGAAACTGTCAGTATTTCTCAAAAAATAATTTTGACAGACTGCTTTGCAAAGCGTACAGATTGGATTAATGAGTAAATTTCCTCTTTGAAAGTGGTGGCACAGAGTTCCCCACGTCGTATAGATACGATAGTAAAACACGATGTACGGATAGGGTTAAAAAGAAGCCTGCGCAGAGAGGCATGTAAAAAAGAATAATCCAAGTTCTTGATACAAGTCTCACATTCTTTATTATTTTGAACATCAACTCAAAACGGAACACCATAACATTTTCACATAGATTCACTCATAAAGTAAAAACATCCATTTAAACATGAACAGTAGCCCCCTGCCAAAGTAACGTGCATAACTTCCAAACGTCTTCAATGTCATCACCCTCTCTAAGAATACCAAACAAATAGGCAGTGAACAATAGCAAATGATGGAAATTCAAAATCATGTGTTCCCAGTATTTATAACAATCTTGCTATGCTTAGCATACATACATTTTTTACACAATAAGCAAAACACACTTCACATTGATTTTGTAGTGCTTTTCACAAGGGACTAAAACACAGCGCACCGGCAGTGGAATTTTAGTTGCCGCGGGGGTCGGGGGTTCCCCGCCGGGCGCCTTATCACGTCGGGGTCATGGGGGTCAGCTCCCTGTCGCCGCTCTGTCTGGGCCGACATAATTTTTGGTGCTTTTCAACGTACAATTTAAGGTGTATCCTTGTATTTATGGTAATTCTCATTTAGTGCACCCAAAGCATGCATTTCTGCTCTTGAGACTAAAAAAAAGAATGGACGTTGTAATTTGTCTGGTTATTTCGTCAGACGCGCTGGAGTCGGCAATGCTAAATTGTAATTTTTTTTTGACTAGCGTGAATGAAAAAAAAATCAATATAAAAAAGGCCTCGTCAAAATCTGTCGAACTTTTGGAACATGAGCGACATAGCATTGGTGCAGATACTCAGAAAAGATGGTATCTGCGCATACTATAGAAAACTGTCATTTTGCAACTTTATCCATCAGGCACACAATTCGCTATGAAGTAATTCCTCCAAATACAGTGGAATCCTGTTATAACGAGAGGGAGGGGACCGGTACAAAATGTCCGTCATAGCAGGATTCTCGTTGTAAGGGACCCAGTAAGAAATTCAAAGGAAATAATAAAGTAGGCCTTATCTATGAGTTTGGTGTTCTGTTTATTTTTACTTTTTGGTATCTCCTCTGATGATGGCTTTGTTCAACATGACCTCTAGGTCTTACTTGATCAAAAATTGAATCAGGTTTCTTTCTCTAGCGTTAGCGATGTTGACAGCTGGGCGTTGGCTATCGGAACGAAAGTTCTCCAGGCTAACTCGCCAGCTGTGTTTTCCCCCACCCCACCACACCTTGTGGTGCATTCCCGCGTCTGCATGCGCATGTCACACATTCGCTCCATGATCCGTCTCAGCACTATGACCTCTCCATCCCTGCATCGAAGAAGTGAGAGGCATGATAGGCCTAGATAATCTAGACTAGGCTGGCCTATCACTATCAGGCAATGCGTTTTGCTTCACAACTGTTTGTGTGCGCATGCCCCTCCCTTCCGACTCATTCTCTCTGGTCTTCATCGTTGGCACACATGGGCTCTCCCATTCTTTGTTTCGCTTGATCACCAACAAGTTTCTCAACTGGCGAGGTTTTCATCATGTATAAATGGCCTTTGTGCTGTTCACAGCAGCAGCAATATTCCGCTATAACCGTCTCGCGCGTTTATCTGATTGCGCTATAGCAGTATTTTATTTACAAAGATAAAGAAGGAAAAAAAACGGGGTTTTAGAAAATTGTCTTTATAACAGACTTCTCGTTACTTCAGGACTCGTTGTAAGTGAACTCCACTGTACAACTTTATGTGTCTAATATAATTGCGAATATTCGCAAATTTTCTCAAAAGTTTATAAAAGTTACCATGAAGTTTCTCTATGGAAAGTACAAATCAATTTTAGTGCTGGAATACATCTTCAATGTAGATCTAATACACGAACAGTACCTGTTACACTCCAGAAATTCCTTACTTTTCTTAAAACGCTAAGTCTAGGTTTTGTAAGTTGACTGAATAATAGGGATGACTTCTCGTAATTGGGTTATAAGAATAATTTCTAGCTTTCCAGGGACATTGAATCAGCACCAGACTTTTCCAGCTTTATTTTTCGTTTCTATGACCATTTGCAATAACTGACAATGTGACTGATTTCTTTACATTCATAATTGTGTCCGCGCATATTTCTGACACAAAAACTAAGAATGAATGTGTTAGCTGTCATTATTTTTATTCCATACAAGAAGTTTATCTCTACCCATGTATTTACACGGTTTTGTGGTTTTTTTAATCACTTAGATTCTATATTATATCTTTTTAGTTTTATGCAGGCTGCCACAGACACAGCATGATTCATGAACAAATGCAGAGTAACTTTCTCTTGTTTAATAGTAAAATAAGAGCTAACGCTGATCGTCTTTAGTTAAAAAATGGAGATGTGCATCTTTCTTCTCTTTTAACTTGACTATTTCTACTCGCGCAGATTTAAGATTTCTCATGGTAAAAGACATGATATTCGTAGTCAGTTTAACACAGATTTTGGAGAGATCTGTCGTGCCTTTTTAAAACTAACAATCATTTATTCATAAGTTTGTAACTAAAATAGGACAAATTGGGTACTCTACAAACACTTGTCTAGAACAAAAACTAAGGCACAGAAATTAACCATTTTAACGCAGAATAAACCTCAAGACATTGAGCTTTTAGTACATCTGCGTAATGATTTGCTATGTGGGATAGGGAAGAAGTTATATTGTTTTAAACATAGTCAAAAATGCGAACTTCCTGACCGACACCGGCAAAGTCACTTCAGGGTTCATTAACCCCGTGACCCCGAGCCGCGGAGCTCCGGCAGGCTGCTGAGTCACGCGAACTAAAAGTAACAGAATCGGGCGAAAAGTGACGCAGTGAAAAGAAAGTTTTCAAATTTTGACTAACAAAGTATGTAGAACAGAGACCTGACTTGAATAAAACAGTCTCTAAGGCTTCTTGAAACTACAGTTTCTCCTCAGTTTACAGTACCTCTTCATATTAGAAAGATGTTATTAAGGCATTCTCATTAAAAAGACTTGGCAATGGTTTTTGAGAGGTATCTGTGTTAGCCGACTAAAAACTTCAATTGACATAATAATCATTCTATTATTCATGATGCTCGCTGGGAAACATCCTTTTTGTTCAAAGACTGCAAAAGAAGATAACACTGACTGCAGGTCAAGCACTTGGGAATGCTATCTACTGGACACTCTACACCTGACACAGCAAGACAGGCTGAAGGGCTCGAACTCAAATGGCCTCTGGATCAGAAAAGTAAAGAACATTAAAAGACACAGTGAGACTGCCCAACTGTCTAAAAGAGATAGCAGCATTGTTCACTCAACGTTCTGTCTGATGGGTGGCATTACAACAGGTAGAAGTATGGTACATTGATGGAGTTGGGCAAAGAGATGCCATATCTGGGAAAAGTCTGTTCAAGGGACAGAAAAAGCAGTCCTTTTACTTCAACTGCTCAGAGGCATTTAGAGTTACATTAGTATTTTCTTTCACTTTAGACCCAAAGCACCATAAGTGAAAAACTAGTAGAACCTACTACGATAAAAGAAATTGTAATCGTAATCAATATCTTTACAATCTCTGAGACTCAGCCATATTGTTCCCAACATCATTGGTATTAAATCTATATTTTTCAGACGTAGGCTTGGAAAAAAGATGGCAGACAATCAGTGCAGGTTTCTCTCAGTTGCAAGAAAAGCCATCGTTAAGCAAAAATCAGCAGCTGCAACTTTGAGCCCACTGCTAGCTTTCCTGTGGATAAATAAAATAATATAAAAAATTAATTGTTCAAAACTAAATCTTACAAAAAATTGGTCAAAAGTTAAACATGTTACATATAGCAAATGTTTGACACTCTCAACATATTTTATAAGTTTTATTTTTTGGTATTTTGAAGTTACTGTTTCCCTAACAAAGATGTCTCACAAAAGGGTTCATATTTAGCAATACTTTTTAAAAAATGAAAAAAGACATCGCAGTCAGGCCTGATAAACAAATACAGTGGAACTCGGATTCAACGAGATGAGATAGATTCCCTGTTTTTTCTTCTTTAAAATCAATAAAAATAACCCGGATTCAACGAGCACTTAAATCAGCGAGCTCGGATTCAACGAGGTCACTTCCAGGGTGAACAGCCCCCCGCAGACGTGGCTTCGCTCATTTTTCTCCCAGAACGAATTTCATCTATTCCCGGAAACCATCCATTGCAACTGCATCGGGAACCAATTCACCTAGCCGATTGCATGCGACCAATCAGCGCCCTTTTTTCATACCAACACATGCGTTGTTGGCTCGCGCACGAGTCTACTCTGGTGCGTGTCGGGGTCAGATGGGCGGCCTGTACACGTGTGACTGTGTGTGTCGGGGAGGTGGGGGGGGGGGGGGTGTGGAGTGTGGGCGCACTAGCGGTCCGTATGTTGAACGTCGCAGATGCAAACGCGTCACAGCCTTTATTTCCCCTTGGAAACTTATCATTATTACAACGATAAGCTAGTCTTGATGTAGATCTTCGTAATGAATTGTGCGCTTGTCTATGAAATCAAAAGTTGCCATTATGCTATGCTGTACACAGCAACACAGCCTTGGGGTAAACAATCGAGATGACACAGGAGTGCATTTGAACGAATCAGTCTTTTTTTTTACACAGCTCATAATATGCAGGCATTTCAGGCACTACTTGTGACTTCTCTTTATACATTACTTGCTCAGTGCCTTTAATTATCTGCACAAAACGTCGTGTTCGCTATAATGAACACTCGGATTCCACGAGATTTTAGGTCAGACCCGGCGACCTCGTTGAATCCGAGTTCCACTGTAAAACATGCTTCTACTTTATGATACTCCTAAGAAGCTGCCAAAGATGGCATATCAAAGTAGGCTTAACAATGTTTATTTTTGTCTTACTATCTCAAGAAGTCATAAACGACGGTGTTCAAAGGTGCAATCATGCCAAACACAAAAGTGAAAATGAATGACTCAACAAAATAAAATCACAACCAAACTAAGTTTGATATTTAGATGCTTTTCCTAAGCTGATGTGATATATGATATATGAACTAAGGGTTAAAACCATAGCTGAGAAAAGAAAGATGACTGGTTATTATTGACTTGTAAAAACACTCAGCACATTCAATGCTGGAGTAAAAACAAGAATGATTTTTGCTTGAAAATGATATCAAATGTTAGTAGCCCATGCATCCTAAGCAAATCTTTGTATGTCACCCTATGTACAAGGAGAACTGACAACAAACCTCTGAAACTTTGCTTCTTTTCTTCACTCTGATGTCTTCTTCTTCATCCAATTTCTCCAACATCCTCTTCTTGTACCTGGAAAAAACCAGCATAATTTGTGTCACTACGTGGTGGAATCAGGTGCTCGGGAATTCCCTTACACGCTCCACCCTGACTCGCCCCGAACCGCCCGTGCCGACCTGGCGTCTTTAGAAACCAAGTCTCGCCTTGACGAGACTCTGGGGCCGAGATTTTGATTTGCATAGTTATTGCAAAAAGTTTCTTCTTTCGTTTGATACCGAAACGACATTTTTTGGGCCAGTAGTTTTAGTATTAGTATTATTAGAGCCCACCAAAGTGCGATCGTGTTACCGACACTTCGAAGGTGTCTCGACTTGTTGAAAAGGGACACAATTGAGTTCAAAAAAGGAAATAACGATGGATTTGAGCAAAAACAAGCATATGACATGTCAGATGACTCAGATTTTGATGAAAACGTTGTAGCAAGAGTTTGGGGCGATTCAGATTGATCAGACGTAGAAAATCTAGAATTTAGATCCAGGGTCCAACCGCGAGGCTGAGAGTGAGAGAGACAGGTCGGACACCCAAACTGAACTAAAGTTAAAACATTTCCCACAGTTTGCGCATACATAAAGTTATATTTTTCTGAAACTACATACAGGGTTCCTGCCATGAACTTCCCACCAAATTCAAGGAGATTTCAAGGAGGTTTCAAGGAGAAATGTTTAAAATTCAAGGAGATTTGGTCAAGAAATTCATGACAAAAGCCTATTTTCGAAGGTCTACACTTGTCCGAAAAGAATCATATCATAGTTTCGATTTCCCTACAAAAACTGTTCGCAGGGTGACTGCCAACCCGGCTTCTCAATTTTCCGGTGGGGGGGGCGCACGCACGCATGTAGGTACATTCCAGTCAGCAACATGTCAGTGTGGCACTGGGATACTGTGACTTAGGTATTTCAGTCAGTTCTTACTTATTTATATTTTCCCTTCATCATATTCCCCTATATAAACTATATAAAAATGAATCTTGCTTTGAGCCTGAGAAAAGGCCTAGAACCAGAATATCCACTGTCAAGAACCAGTTTGGGTGTCAAGGTTTATACAATAAACGTAAAAGATAAAAATTATTACTCTAACTAAAAATAGAGTAATAACATGAATGTCTCAAGTAGACCTATTCAGTGTGAGAGGTGTAAAAACTGTGGGAGGGCAAGACACAGTGACTCTGAAAATCTGCAAATCTTGAACAGAAAGCTCAAATATAGAATACAATACAGTAGTCTCCGCCTAAGATCCCGGTGCTCGGGAGCCAAGAAATGCGGGATCTTAAGCGAACCGGGATCTTAACCGACGAACCCAGGGAAGAATCTATGGTGACCCATGTTAAGGCTCACAATCAGTAAAATGGTCTCCCTCCACTCTAAAATGAACTGACGTGACGTGACCTCTTGGTGGGTTTATGGCATATGGCGAGCAAAGAGTGGTTAACCTTGATGACCTATCACAGTGCATAGTGGCATGAGGCTTGCCATTTCACGAATTATCCTATCATGAGTCTCAAGATCTACGCTTATTCAGCTGCCCCTCCCCTTTACCTGTCGAAAATTTATAGCTTGCCATCTCTGACCGAGTCCCCCCCCCCCCTCAACCACCTTTGTCGTTACACACCATTACGTTGTGAACACACCAATTAAAATTCAGTCTGTCTCGCAAATTCGGGAGTAGAGACAACTGCTGCAATGGTCGGGGAAGAGTTCATGATTCGATGTGATCCCGCCTGGAGCGAACGTATAGGCCCTACCCACCCAGCGAGTGATGTAAGTTTAGGTGGCGAGCTCAGGTGTGAGTGCGATACGTGGGGAAAACAAACGTGTCGGTCAGTTCACACCTCGGTGTGATCCCGGCTGGGGCAAACATTGCATCGCTTCATCGAGTTTTGCAACGTGTATGTGATCACATTCACGATAGTAGCTGATCTTTGACGCGACGGACAATTTATTGATCTCAACTTTTCCCCCTTGGTTGATCGGCTGTGCCCGCCCGAGTTTTTGTTCCGCAAATTATAATCTGAAATGCGGGATCTTAGCTGAATGTAGACCTTTTTAAGAGTGAATCAGAGCGGGATCTTAGGGGTGACTTTTGTATAGTAAAAATTCTGTTTTCTTAAAACAGCGGGATCTTAAGCGAACCTGGATCGTAAGCGGTGGGATCTTAGGCGGAGACTACTGTACATATAATTTACTATCACCAACCCAATGAAACGGGAACCCTTTAGTTACAAACACACGGCTTACAAGGTTTGAGTATGACAGATCCCGATTCCATACAAGGCCTGCACCAATGCGCGCATTGCAGAGAGCTTGAGATCTAGATGGTAGTAATCAAAATTCTGAAAAGTAAAATCTGCTTCCAAGTTTAGTTTTTGTCATCCGGTGTTGCCTTCACCCCCCCCCCTTCCCCCATGTGCGTCTTAAAAAAAAATATTTAAAAAATCCCCCCATTCCCGAGTTCTATACTTCGCAGCGCTCAGACTTTGCATGAACTTTGGTGACCTCAACCATCGCCGATACTCACGATGTGACGAAAATGCACAGGTTCAATGACCGGTCACGATGGCGAGCCCGACAAGAAGCTTGTATAACTTTCTTTTTCTTTCTTTTTTTTCCACAAGTGACAGCACAGGACAAACGATTTATTTTCATGGCGACACAGCGTTTGTAATGCAGAACCTGCATGTTAGAAATGTGGCGCTATCAGACTACTATAGGTCCTACCGGCAAATTTCTAGGTGGTAACGAAAGCGAAAGTAGATCTTGATTTTTCCCGATCGAGCTTCGGTATCCCACATACACTTCCACTTGTTGCCGCCATAACCGCCTGTGCACGGGTAACGTACTCTCAGGCCGGGAAAGGCCGAATGAATTTTATATCACAACCGCGACCGGCAAAAATGAACTCAAGGACGTTATCAGATTTGGTTTTCAAATATTCAAGAACGTTTATGTATTTTCCCGGGTCTTTCACGGGGCAATTTACAGATTTCTTCAAATTCCCGTTGCATTCCGGGTCTCGGCGATTTTTTTCAAATGACTGGGTAATTCCAGGGGCCCCCGGGATTCCCGGGGCCTGGCAGTCACCCTGTACACGTGTTCCTGTCCGATCTGGCAAAATTCAAGGAGTTTTCAAGGAGATTTTCCCTTGAATGCAAATTCAAGCAGTTTTCAAGGACTCCTTGAATTCAAGGAGGCCGCGGGAACCCTGTACATACCTTTTTTCTATTTAACTGTTATCTTTTCAGGATTTTTGGAATTTATTTAGTGTTTTTTTAATGTGTTATTTAAACGCTTGTATTCACGGAAGGTGGGTTCCTTTCCCTTGATTAGGATCTAACAATGAACTTCCCGTCCAGACCCTTAGGGTGTAATGTGTTAAGCTGGTTCATTAGTTCTATATAAACTAAAACAAAATTTCAATTCTAGCAGAACAGCTGTGGCAGACTCTGACTTGGACAATACAGAGAAGAAAGAGCATACTTAGAAGTTCTTGGAGACCCAAGAATGCAAGGAAAAAGTGACAGCAAAGCCTACTAGCAGAAAAAGTACTTACACATCACTGTCAGGATTATTTGCTTGATTCCGACAGTTCTCCAGTTTCTTTTGGATAGCTTGAGCCTGTTCCCGGGGCACATTTTCAATTCCCTTGACAATGAATTTCACACCTGTATAAATAAAGTAGATAAATGCACAATTAAAATCAAATGTTTTGTGTGAAACGTCTGTTCAACTATAATTCAATTCTCAGAAATAAAAAAGATGATGTACAAAAACATCTTGAAAAGAAAAAAGTATTCAACTAACCCTGACATCATTGAGTTAATCTCACAAAATATTGGATAGCATAGAGGCCCAAAATATAATGTAAATGGGTCACACACAGATGATCTGCCAACAACTTTTTAACCTTAATTTTGCAACATGAACATTCAATCTTAAAATGAAATTTTGTAAGTGTAAATTAATTAATTGAAAATGACAAGTTTTAACACGGCCAAATAATATGGAGGTAACAGAGCTCTCACGTCTCAGCTGGTACAGCATATTTTCAGCTTCCTTATCACTGGCGACCTTGAGAAGAACTTCTTTGATGTATCTGAAAGGAAATTAAAAGTGGACACTGAATGAGTACCATTTGAATTCTTCTGAAAATGTAATGTTCCTCTGATAAAAAACAAAGAGCTTTCTAGCTCAGCCTCATGTACTGTAAAACATCAAACGTACAGTTTAATATGAGGTTCTTAAACACAGGTACCACATCACACCCCTCTCCCCCACTCAATAGCGGAAAATTCAGAACAGGAAGCTGATCTAATTTTCAAATTTCTTTTTAACATTTTGAAAGCTGAAACCTCTTCCATGTCAGCATTTGAGAACAAATCACATGAAACAATGGCAGCAATCCCAATATATCTTTTCAGCATTACCTGTCAAGAGATATTCCTTCTTTTGAAGCTCCAAACCGCACTGCAGCCAAGGCTATCTGATAATCACAAATACAGAAAACGGCAAAGGAATCAAAAGCAAGAAAATCACACAGAGAAAAACTCTACATTAAAAAAAAAAAGAAAAAGGGACAAAACTGTTTTTTTTGCTTTTGTTTGAGTTACAGTTTTCCGGCACTTGCAACACAATTAGGTCATATAACTGTCCCCGTGGTTTTATGCACCCAGCATAATTTAGCAAAATTTGATAATTTTTTTGCATAATTTCTGACTATTTTCCTTTATCATTCTTTGTTAAAATTAACAGAATCACATAATTTCACATTTTTGGGCTCAATTTCAGAATTTTTCTTGCATAAAACGACGGGGACAGACATAAGGGCGGGAAATTAGGCACCCCCCACCAGGGCAGTGCTATTGACTGAAGTCGTCTTTTGGCCATTCCCAAGGGGGGGGATATTAACATATTCTTATCACAGTAGAATTGTAAATCATGCTCATTCCTCTACTTCTTTTGTTTGTTTCTCACTCTCTTGTGAACTGCTACTTCCGAGGTGCCTTGATAGTCGAAACAGACTTTGTGCTGTTGAAGCTAGAGAGGTGGTGAGCAGAGTAAGCCCTATTCCCCTTTTGGACTTCTCTGTTGACATCCACCCCTTGGCGCTCATATGACCTTATGCAGCTGCGAGCGCCGTAAAACCTTACTAAAACAAAAACAGAAGATTAGGGGAGTTAAAAGAGAGTAACAATCACAAAAAAGAAGGAGAGATAAGAACTATAGATTTTGACAAGAAAAAAGGAACATACCACACCAGAGCATCCGCAAACCACCCAAACACCACTACATAGATCTAAAAAAATAACTGAGAATGACAATCTTCATTCATCTTGCAGGGAGAAATTTGTCGTGGTTGTTTACAATGGCAGTGCAATAAGGCACCAGATGTAGCAGTCTAAATCAACCGTTAAAGTTTTAAAATTCTATAGACGTAAAAAAACAGTAGCAAAAATGAGCTGAACATAATAAATACTTTTTAATGACAATTTTACATTTTTGAGCAAGTGATAACAGACATGGCACCATTTTATGACACAAAACAAAACAATAATGGTTCTCATTAGCAAAAAAATCTTCCTCCCCTTCAGCACAGTGCATCTAATTACTTTATAAGAAAGAATATTCAACAAATGTACCAGTAACTAACAGACTGAAAGTCATGTTTTCGAGGCAGTAAATTATTTTTGCAAATCAAAAAGAAATATCTTATGCTCAAAGAAAAAGTGTGATATTATAACCAAAAACTTATGACCAAATGCTTTTCACCTCCTCTTTCCATTACATCTGTCCAGTATCTTGTTTCTTTCCATGGCACTGAATCAGCATAATTACAATTACAAACCAGATTTTTTGGGGGGGTTTGTGTTTTACGGTGCTCGCAACTGCAAAAGGTCATACGAGTGCGTGGGATACATTAAACCTTTTCAGTTGGTAGAAAATTTTGAATTTTGCCCGGGAGGCGGCCGAAGCCTACTCTTATCGATTTTAGACCACCAAATGATCTTTAACGTGCACAACTTGCACATGGGACCGCTGAGACGTTTTGCCCTTGTTCGAGAAGGCTAGGTGTAGATCTTTCCTACCAAAAGATCAGGGGTGTGGCTGAAAGACAGCAGTAAGAAGGAGCCAAGGAGTAGAAGTAGAAACACTGCAGAAAGAGTCAGGAACACAGACGGAGGGGGCACAGGAGGTGAGGGGGTGGGACAGAAAGTGGAGACGAAAGCAGACGACAGAACATTGCTAGAGAGCAGGATGTGAGGTGAAAGGGGACAATTTTAGGGAAAAAAAATTTTCTGTCGCTACCCGGATTCGAATCCACGACCTTTGAATGAGAGGCGAACACCCTAACTTCTAGGCCACGAGAGCCCCCAAATCAGATCTTTTTTAAAATGAATGTAACAAATATGAAAAAAAAAGCACCAAAACAAATTGAAAACTTATCAACTGGGTATTTTTTGGTCAAGGGTGTGTTTGACTTTTATTTACCTGAGAAGGAGAAAATATCAAGCAAGCATCAGATTGTAGACTTCTTTCTAAGAATTCTTCAGTGGCTTTGCGCATTCGTTCTGGATTTTCAATTTCCTTGCATCGAGTCTGTAACAAAACCATCAAAATGTGTTCATTCAGTATAGTGATAGCAAATTGTTTCTGCATTAAGTGTTCCTAAAAGTCTGCTAGGTAACTGATATGCATGAAACCAACTAAATGTGTCATTTTCCTTGCCTTTAATGAAAAAAAATACCCATCTACCATGAATAGAAATCAAAATGAAGGAAGTGGAAGTTGCCTGGTGTCTGAGATAAAAATTAAGGAGAAAATGGACACCAAAGCTGTGTTACTTCCAAAGATGTAGTATCCTTGGAAACTGAAAATTTACATATTTTATGCTTTTAGGCAATGATTTTTAAAAGTAAAATCCACATAGGACTGCACATTTTAATTGACATCAAGTGTTGAACTCAAAACAAAAAAATACAATAAAGATTGCCTAAAGAGTGGGAAAAGGTCAATTTCTGCGAGTTTATTATATTGACGAGCCCATGACTCCATCATGACATAACATAAATGACGTTATCCTATTCCGCTCATGCTCAAGGTAGCATCTCCCTTTCAGAGCAGAACAAAGCCTTCCATACAGCTGCTCTGAAAGTAGTTCTTTATATACATTTGCTCTTAACGGGAGGAGCGACCTTTGAGGACTATTTTCTATGTGTGTTGCCCGAGATGAAATCTAAGTACACATATAAGTTAGGCATAGTAAAATCTCTTGATACGCAATTTTATTTTGACACAACTACAGCGGTTGCTATAGAAATGGCCGCCATCTTGAAAATAAACAATGAGTTTCAAATCCCTAAGGCTTTCTTATTTACTGACAAAATTTGACCAAATATGGTGGGAGTATACCTGAACCAGACCCTATCAGCGTAACGCAAGTTTTTTTCAATAAGTGCAAAAGAAAAATAAATGTGAGAATTTTTCCAAAGTATTTTAAAAAAAAAAAATTTAGGTTGCGTAATCGCTTGCCAATGGAACAGTCTTATTTTCTTTCGCAAATATCTCTGTTACATTGGTTGTCACCTATGTTTCCTGAAAGTTTCATGTCAAAAGGATGAAAACTAAGGAAGGAGTAGGGGAAAAAACTGCAAAAAAATTGACATTTTGCGAAAAATAACAATTATTGTGAAAATTCAATACATTAACCCACCCTCATGTTTTCAAAGGCAATTTACGAGGAGAATAAAGACTTTCTCAATTGTCACCAGCCGTTGTTATACAAAGAACTGGTTAATCTTCAAAACTTTGTCAACATCTCAATGTGCATAGCCTGTCCCAAAATCGGCAAAATCAAGGGTCGCTCTTCCCCTTAAGATATTGATGGCACAAAAACAACCTACATTTACCTTGATGTCTATTAAAAATCCTTCTAAGGGTCTGAAAGGGTTGTGGATTGTTAGGTGATAGTTTAACTTTCCCATGAGAGTGAGCTCAAAGCTGAGAATGGCATCAGCAAATTTCTCTCTGTCTCCTCGTAGGTTTTTCACAAACTGGCCGATGGGTACATAAAACTCCTCCACCTTGCAAGCCAAATATACACATGTGAGCCTGAGGACAGTAGGTATCAAAATTAAAAAGTGTTATACACAAAATACTCATATGTGCATCTCAAAACTTATAAACACATCCATATATACCCAGTTGCAAAAGTTCTGTCACACCCACCTTAAAAATACAATAACTCATTTACTATTCAATATAGCTGAGAGAAATTTGGTACACGAAATCTTTATTCATTTTCGGCCAACATGTCATGAAAAGAATTGACAAATGTCTTTCTTTATTCAAGGGAGATAATTTTATTCACACTGACCCTTGCAAAATCCAAATCAAAGTTTGCTCAGTATGGCGTGTGGCCTCTTTCAGCTTGAATTACTGATACAAAACGTCTGTTCGTTGACTGAATTAATGTCCTTATGGTTGTCTGAAGAATCCCCTGCCATTCCTAGTGAAGTGCAGTATTCAGTGCCTGACGAGTTTATACGCAGTGCAGCCTGTTTCTAATCCTTCAGTCAATGCCATCTTACAGATGTTCTGTTGGGTTAAGGCTTGTTGGTCTTGCAAGCCAGTCCGGAACAACCATTTGAAGAGTTTGGAAGGAGTTTTCACTGATTGTAGCCATTTGTGGTCGGACATTGCATTGTTAGCAAATTCCATCACCCGCGACATGTAGGGCAGTCACTGTAACGAAAAATTTTGTCACAATACCGTCGTTTCTTGAGGTAGTTTTGAAAAGTAACCAAATGTGTACGACAAAGAGCAGAGATTCCACCCTGTACAATCACATTTCAGCCACAGATTCCGGCCTCTTTTGGGACGTTGGATTTGGGAAATCTTCATCCTTTTTTTTAAAACCCTTTTTCTCTTCCATCAAGGCGACGAATTAAAAACCTTAACCATTGCTTAAAAGAACACTTAACCAACGTCTTTAGTTTCATTGCCAATGTTGTTGTGCCAAAATCTGGCGATTTGTTCAATGAAACAGGGTTAGAATGACTCCACGCAAAGGGCGATAATCACGTAATCCATGATCTTATAAATGTCTAATTATGGTGTTTTAAGAAAGTCCATAGTTCCTGAGAGTCTATATGCACTTAGTTGGAACGGGTTTCGTACATGGGTGTTGAAAATACCCACTTCTAACTTCGAGTTGTCGCCCTTGGTTGACCTCGTCCAGGCTTGTCTTGGACAGTTCTAGTGGTGTTAAAACGTTGTTCAAGCATTAGATGGTTCTTCTACACCCATTTACGTGTCTTGCAACAGAAGAAAGCGCAATTAAAGAATTTATCATATTCACAGCCCCTTTATTTTCTGAATTTATAAGTTCTTTATTTTGAAAAACAGCTGAAAAAAGTACCCAACCTTAAAAAGTACGGAATTCCATAGTGCGTTAAGTGTGTTTACATATTGTCTACGTGATTCAAAGCAAATGTTGTGTGTAGGAAGCATTGATTTCAACGTAGACCTAGAAAAATCAATACCAACACTTTGTCCACGCGCTACTTCCGGTTTATGGTTTCTTTCGTCTGCTCTTGCACAAGGAGTCTCATAAGTCACACACAAGTCGTACTTTTAATTTTTACAGCTATTCTTACACTGTACCGAAAATTATCGTAATATAATGGGTGTGACAGAACTTTTGCAACTCAGTATACTTCAAGAACGTGACAAAAAAAATCACATCAATAGTACCTTATTTCTTGCAATATATCCCCTTCAAGACAAACACAAGTAAAATGGAGGCAGTAATGGGAAGCAGAGATATAGAGTCCAATTGTGTTAGTTGGGTATAGATCAAGTTGATACCAAACAATGACAGTGTAAACTTCAACATGTGTTTCAATATATATATGAGCATTGGCAACAACCAGAACCAATGAAGTACAAAGAGAAAGAAACAAAACATTAAACTACACATCACAGACATGAAAGACAAGTGCATATGCCAAGAAACTGCTTGATACAAAAACAAACAGACAGATACTGTTTTGGTTGTTTTTTTCCCTTCAATTTGCTACCACTAAATACATTGATTTACACAAAAATGTTACACCCCCCCCCCCCCCTAAAAAGAACCGGTGCACATCAAAATACAGGAAAAGAGTACTGAGTGGATCCAGACCAGTAGCTCCCATTTTGATCTAATCTACCTAACATTTTTTTTATTTACTTCAAACATGAGAACTATGATATTATTTGAAAATGTTGAATATGTTTCATCCCCAAAACAATGCAATGACAAAAAATGGGTGAACTTCTGATGCATGCAACTTACATTATGTCTTTGGGATGGTAGTTCATATTGGAATTGTTGACATAAAATCTTTTGAAGAAAACCAAGGAAGTCCCCTGAAAAAGAAAATCAGTATTGTTTTTAAAAAATCGAACCTATTGCAACAGAAATAAGAGAACAACAGGGTTTTTTTTCATAGTCCTCACTACAGACTGAACACTTCTTTCTCTATTTAAAACCACAAGGGTCAAACTTAATAGGAAAAAAAAAAGTCTTCACGAAAAATGTGTCCTCGTATCCAAAACATTCTAACCAAGCCTTAAACAGTTTGTTTAGGCATAGCAAAAGATACAGGCAAAAAACGCAATTAGAGGAATTTTGACCAGTCAATAGCTGTTGTGGTGACAATAAAAGTAAAATACATGTGAACATGCACACGTCTACTGATTCAAACGGGACTTGTTTGTAAATCCAAGTAAGAATCTTAGGTTGCATGGAATTTTCAATATTTAGTCTTATATAATTAATCAAAAACGTTTTATTGAAACAATCTATCAAGTTTAAAAACATCTGTATAACTCTTAGGGATTTGGGAATTCTAGTTCAGACTATCCAAAGGCTTCCAGATACATGATTATAAATTTCTGTTTAAAAAGATTCGAATTCTTACAAATATAAAACAATTTTTCTGATGTACAGTTGAACTCGAATTCAACGAGCTCGGATTCAACTAAAGAAGATGGATCCCCCGCGGTTTTTTTCTTCTTTAAAATAACCTGGATTCAACTAACACTTAAATCATCAAGCTCGGATTCAACAAGGTCGCTTCCAGGGTGAACAGCCCCCGCAGATGTGGCTTCGCTCATTTTTCCCACCCAGTGAACTTTATTCCCAGAAACCATCTATTGCACCTGCATCATGAGCCATTATTCACTTAGTCAATTGCATGCAACTAATCAGCGGCCTTCTTCCATACCAACACATACGTTGTCGGCACGCGCATCTGTCTACTCTAGCGAGTGTCGAGGTCAGATGAGCGGCCTGCACATGTGTGACTGTGTGTGCATATCCCGGGAGCACCATCTGCAGATGCAAACGCGTCAGTACCCCCCTCGGCAACTGATCATTATTACAACGATAGTCTTGACATAGATCTACGTAATGAATTTTGCACTGGCCTGCATTTGAACGAATCGGTGTTGTTTTTGCACAGTTCATAATATGCAAGCATTTCAGGCACCACTTGTGACTTCTCTTTATACATCTCAGTGCTTGTAATTATCTACACAAAATTTCATGTTAGCTATAACGAACACTCGGATTCAACGAGATTTTAGGCCAGGCCCAGTGATCTCGTTTAATCTCGAGTTCCACTGTGTTTGTTTCCCATAGTGTACTTACTATGACACATTTTGGCATGGGTGGCTGAAATTCAGCACAAAATTTCCGCAAGACCACCTCATACTGTCTGCTCAATATTCTTTCTTCAACAGGAGTCAAAAAGTGTGATGTTACTTCATTATCCTGCAAATAAAAAGTTAAAACAAAACAAGGTAGAGTCCATAAACAAATTCAGTGATAAATAAAACAAAAACAAAAAAAGAACCCCCCCGCAAAAAAACAAAAAAACCCAACCAAAACAACAACAACACAAAGGCAATAACCACCTTTTCTGATGATTGTACACAAATCCAAACAAAAACTGAAGAAATGTTTTAAAATTCCTGTTGACATGTTCCGACAGTGAAAACTGCTTTTCATAGGGAGAAACTATTCACTGAGACATATAAACTTCCTTTTTCTAGAAAAAAAAAAAGGAGTCCAATTACACATTAAAATATAGAAATTCAAGGCAAAACTGACACAGTGCATTGTATTACTAATTGTATCGGAAACAAAAAGAGGTCACCTAATACACATTTCACTTTTTTAGTTTTATTTAGAGTTTTACGGCATTTGCAACACAATAATAAAGTCATATATAAATGCCGAAGATTAGAGGTGTTACAAGAGAGTAACAAACACAAAAAAGAAGGAGGGGAGATAAAGACGATAGAAGTTTGATAAGAAAGAAGAAGCAAACCACACCAGAGCACCCGTCAACCACCTACATTTCACTTTTCAAGATGGTTTGACAAAACAACACATGGTAAAAGTAGCCTTTCTGCAGAACTTCACCTCAGTTGAAATTTGGAAAACTAAATTTGCAAGGAAGCTGTCTACAGTTAAGTGAGTCTTTGCAAAGTAAAAAAAAACCTAACCCCACAAAAACTCACTGTCGAATCCCTTTATAGAGTCAACTGGATTAATGAGAACTCGGGATTTTGAAAAAAAACACTTCTTGATTCCTATTTTTTTCCTTTTTATTCAAACCAATTTATATAAAAACAATATACTGGAATAACGAGACTTGCTTTTTAATTTAGAATTAGTGAAAGAATCATAACTCATAGGTGTCTAGAGAATAGACGACAAACACACACTACGACCCTCAATCAAACCATGCTTCACAGTACCGGTCATTTCCTTGTTGTGCTAAAGGAAGTAATCCATCCCCTCTCTTCTTTCCAAAGACCGAAATAAAACAAATGCTCAAATAGTGTCAACATATTGATCTGCAATCCAGCACTTTGACATATTCATACTTCCCTGGGTTCCATCAATACTGAGACATGGTTATAACAAGATGTTGTACTTTATCTGATCACTCTTATTGTTATTTCTCTTGTTTGTGACTAAACTCACTGTCATGGTTCCTCTGTGTTTGCTGATGTAAGTGGCATTTGCTTCTGTTCGACATTTTGCTAGCTCTGTCTCTCCACTGAACAACCAGTGTTTTGACTGGGAACTTGTTGAAAACATTTTCTGAAAAGAGACAAGGAAAACACAAAGTAGAATCCTGGTTAATGTTGAGAGACATTATAAGAAATATTTATACTTTGCGTAGTCCTTATTCCATACTAAATCAAGACCTGTGTTTAGCAAACATAATGTTTATTTCCTACAAAAACTGGACGATGATCTGGTTTCTTTATCGTGTTGTTGTCCACCAGTAAAGGTATGAAAAAGTGAAAATCTCATTTCCAGGGAGAGGCCACAGCTACATAGAATGCGACAGAGACATGGCAGTGGTGAATAAGAAGGTCCCAGTTGGGTGGAGCAATTAAAGATAGTCCTTTGGAAACCTTCTCTGCTCCAGACAGTGAGGATGACACAAGTCGTATTCCAGAATGTGTTAGAAAATCTAAAACCGTACTACCGTGTCTCTTGCCTCATACCAACTCGACCTCTGCTAGAAATATGTATCTCACAGACCCATCCACAATAAATGCTGTATAGAGAGAGTTGGAATGGTCTGTTTCACACCGCAATCATTATGAAACCTGTGGAAAGCAAGCGCGCTGCAAGACTCCAGCCTCTGAAACCCCTCTATTACAGCCCGCTGACCATCACAGCTGCCAAATATGCAGACATAAAGGTCTTAAAGGAGTTCTGGCCCAACAGCTTTTCAACGAATTGCCTCATGCTGGAGGACCAAGTGCCACACAAGAGTCTGATGACTGAGAGTCGTCATCCAAAAATGAATATAAAATAAAATTAAAATAAACAAGGTAAATATTACAAAATGCTGTGCAATTTTCTTGTTTGAATCATTTAGTTTTGTTTGTATTCACAAATGAGTAAAGAAACTCATATTCATTGACTTCCCAGAAGATGGAGACCTTGCCAACAGCTTGCAAGGGAAAAAACAGCGCTGTCAGTTTGCTGCAAAATTTTTCTATTTTGCACTTTCCGAAACACCTATAACACGAAGACTGAAAATTTTTCATTCTCAACACAAATGGTCATACTTCAAGTCAATGACAATGTAAACAGTGGAGAGATCATTGTAGAGGAAAAAGAATAAGTCTTTTAAGTTTGTTTTTCAATTATAATCTCGGAATTGCAAGAACCTGACATCGCTTGTTTTTCCCTTGTGCCCTTCATACAATATATATGTAGTACTGAGACGCAAAACTCACTTACATCCATTTTAGCACTTTAAAGAAAAATCAGCTTTTTTTAATGCTGCCATGCATGAACATGCATAAAAAGAAGATTTTTTGGTGGCTTTTTTCAAGTACGCGTTGGGTGTTGGCTGAAAACACTTTGTGCATCTTTTTTTAGTTTTAGTGGAGGTTTTATGGCGCTCGCAACTGCATAAGGTCATACGAGTGCCAGAAGATTAGAGGTGTTACAAGAGAGAAACCAACATAAAAAAGAAGAAGGGGAGATAAGGACGATAGATGTTTGATAGGAAAGAAGAAGCAAACCACACCAGAGCACCCGCCAACCACCCACTTTGTGCATCTGACAGCTGGTAACAATGTGTGTATTTATAAGCAAAAAATATCTTTTTTTTTTTCAAAATGTCGCTTAGCACCCCCTCATATATATATAATATATATATATATATATATATATATATATTCGTCGTCGGGCCTGGCCTTCAATGCCGTTGAATCCAAGTGTTTGCTATGGCAAATATGAGGTTTTTGTGAAGATAATTCCAGGCACTGAGCAAATACAGTCAAACCTGTGTAAGACGGCCACCCATTGTCAAGGAGAAAAGTGGCCGTATAAGACAGGTGGCCGTCTTAGGCAGGACTGATCAAGATGAAGAAAACGAACCATTCCCATCATTCTGAGGTCCCAATCGAAAGAAAAAACGCAAAGGGGGAAATGAAAAGTGGCCGTTTGTACAGGTGGCCGTCTTATAGAGGTGACTGTCAGGGCAGGTTCGACTGTAATGTATAAATTTGACTTTCTGACAATCAAAAGTAGTTTGGGTTCAAATGAGAAGCATTTTCATTTCTCTGATAGCAAAGATTTGCTGGAAAATTCCAGGAAAATACACTGAACTCTACCAAGCACACACTGTGCAAAGAGGCCGATTTGTTCAAATACACTCCGGTGTCATCTATCATATCTATAATCTGTCCCTGTAGCAATGCGATTGTGCGGCCGCGTTTTTTTCGCGTAATTCTGCAACATTCGCATAATTTTGGATTATCCGCGTTTTTTCCCACAAAATAATTAATTAACGCCTCGCCATGTGACTAAAGGAACGTAATCACCGTAATAACTCTCATTTAAGTGAAAAGTTGGTTATTTCCCTTGTTACAAGATCTTGGTTAAATTATGGGTTGTGATTTTCTTCTTTGAGCATGTTCTATTTTTCAATCCATAAAAAGTTTTTGTTCTCAAGTCTGCTGATGTTTCATATTTGACAGGTGTCCCTGGTTTTAGTAATGCGCCAGCATCAGAGGTCCAGAGGTCCTTTTAAAAATATTTTTAAAAACATTTTTCTTTCCTCAATAGATCTAGATCTAGATCTACAGCTGAAAGTTACAGAGATTATAATTTTTGGTAGGTTTTTTTTTTTTTTTTTTTTACTAATGTGTATTGTTTTCTTTTCCAAATTACTGTGTTCTGTTTTCAATTTTTCTGTACATAAAACATGAAAATCATGAAACTTCGTGTTGAAAAAGTGCAAAACATGTCGCGAATGGTGTTACGGTAACTTGCATAATTTTTGCATAATTTTGCTTTTTTGTGCATAATTTGGCCTTCTAAATTTGCATAATTCTACGGGGACAGTATAATGTACTGTTTGCCAAACAAGCTATGTTGCTGTGTAAACTGTGTAAAGACTAGCACATGGCAACATTTGATTACACAGTCCAGTGCGCAATTCATTACATAGAGATTTATGTCAAGATTAGCTTATTTGTAATTTGATCAGTAGTCAGAGAAAAAAATAAATGGGTCCCGTTTGTTTCTCTACTGACATTCCACACCCGGACCATTTGTACCCCCTCTCCCCAGACACACAGTCACACATGTGCAGGTCACCCACCCGACACCAACACACGCTAAAACTAAAACATGGGTGCGACATTACAACATCTGTGTTGGTATGAAAGGAGGCCACTGATTGGACGCACCTATAAGTAGTTCACCCTGTAAGTGAGTTATTTGAATCCGAGCTTGCTCATTTATGTGTTAGTTGAATTAGAGTTATTTTAATCGACTTTTAGGAATAAAAAAATTGGGGAATCCTACTCCTTTCGTTGAATCTGAGTTCATTGAAACCGAGTTGCACGATACATAGCCTACATCTATCATAATTATAAACAAATTTTAAATATATATAGTGTCTAGTAGTAGTAGTAACTTGCCTGTCTGTATCACTGAGGTATTCTTCTACTGTCCCTCCCGTCTCACAATTAGCAAGCAGTTGTCCATTTTCTACTAAATATTGATGCGCTGAAAACGAATTCTAACTTCATTTCCATCGCAAATTAATTGTCCTTGAAATATTTGATTCTATTCTTAATTGAACTATATCACACTATGATGCCTAACTGCGTAGTAATTTGTGCGCTTTGGACCAATCGGGGGGGGGGGGGGTAAAAAAAAAGTCTGGGGGGTTACAGGGGGGCATGCCCCTTGTTTTTTAACCCATAATTTGATATTTTAAGGTTAGGTTTGAAATTTTCTTGAAAATAATTGATCTGTGACAGTTTTGGTGGCTTTATGTGTGATCTGCAGCAAACAATACTGCAGTGTGACCCCCGAAGCAGTGCATCTGTGTTCGGGAGTGAAAGTAAAAATTTACCATCATTGATATTAATAATAGCCTTTATAATAAACAAGTGGATAATTAGAGAACGTCAGTTGTACGACATTGGCCGATATTTATAGTAGCAGCCATCTTGTTAGACGTCATTGAGGGATTACAACTTAGTTGTCAGTCGAGGTGGCAAAACAACAGCACGACGGCAGCCTGCAGACTCGGATTAGATCTATTTTCTTTGCAATTTGGAGAACTGTTTGGTTCGGTTGTCTGTGATTGTGCAGCTTCCGCCCAGATTGATTCTAATGCTGTACACTATGTAAATTGAGAAGAAGAAGAAGACTAAGAGTAGGCCTACTATCGGTTTGGTTCGACTGCCGTCGTGCTGCCACCATGACTGACAACAAAATGGGAATCCCTCAATCAACAATGACGTCAAACAAGAAGGCTGTTTTTATAAATATCGGCCAATGATGTACATCTGATGTTTCTCTAATTATTCGCTTGTCTATAATAAGTTTAGCATCCATTGTTTCATGTTTCAAAATATGGAAGAGGTGAGAATCCATGTCTTGCTATTCTCACCCCCTCGTATTACCGGGAATGACCCTAGAGGTATCAGGGCTGAGATTAGCGAGCATGACCCTGGGGGGGGGGTCAGGGATGATGCTCCACAGCATCATGTTCGTCACTATTCGTGTCCGAATAATCACATTTAGGGTTGTCAGTTTGGAGCCAGATCCCAAAAATTTGGCTCTTTTGGATCATGTCTGGCCCAGAGAATTTCATTTGGCTCTCAGGCTCTTTTTTGTCTCCAACTCCAAATGTTCATGAAGAAAGGGAAAGAAGAGGCAAGAAAAAAAGAAAAAGAAAGAATAAAATATTTAAAAAATGTATTAAACTAGTTTACTCAATGTAACGCCCTCGCCCATTTGGTCTGAATAATTTACAACCCTTCTACCCTCGTGCAAGAGCATTTTTATTGTCTCGTGCTTGTGTCTCGTTACGTTTGTAGATGTTCTATGTTCCTAAAGTCCTTGAACCATAATTTATTGTGTGCAGGCAGAGAGTGAGAGGCCTGCCATCATTAAGTGTGTAAACTACGAATGGTCCGGCCCGTCCCGCATCCTGCTCAGTAGCGTCGGTAGGGAGCGACATGTGCTGATAAGCAGGCCTAGCCAACGCTTTGTTAGTCACTCGAGTAAAGGGCTGAGGGCTCGCCGGCTCGTTTACAGAGCGACGATAGGAACAGACGAAGGACTGGTATGTTCTCCCGTATGATAACCCCCCCGGTAATGAGCCTTTTTAACGTTTTTACATTATTATTATTCATTCCCAACCACATGCAGTAAGGTGATTTTATCGGCCTGCGAGAGGTCGGGGGGGGGCCTCGCCTCATGCCCAAACAAGGGTGCGGGTGAGAATAACATGCCCTGGGCTATTCTAGGTAGCCTTTAATTAA